ATTTCAAATTACTTGAACAATACCGGCAGCCATCTTTGGACATAATTAACACCTTGCCTAATTAATGTCAGAGATAGCATGAGTAACACTTTATTAAATGTTATTGTATTTATACTTGCCTCACCCCCCTGTCTTTCAGAGTCCAAGTGTCTGCCATTTTCCTGAAGTGGAACAACTTCTTTTTCTTTCTTTCTTTTTTCTTCTTTCTTTCCCTTGTTTCCCTCCCCCTTCAAGTAATCAATGCACTGCTGAATGAGTTCATTTTAATGCATTCAATCATGCCTCTAATGTTCGTAGCTTACGGGCGCAAGCATCAGTAATGCAGGAATGTTATATGGCTTTAGTTTGGGCCATTTCATAAAATATTCATGGAATCAAAAATGTGCATCAAAATAGCGGCTGGGAGAATTACATTTATGTTCCTGCCTTTATGGCAGCTTCACATTTAAACCCATTTGTGTTAATATCTAGTCAATCTTCCTACTTTAAAAAAAAAACTAAAATGGGGGAGATCATATACATTTCCCTTTACTTAATATTTGTTCTAGACATCACTGTGAGACAACAAATATCTATAAACTCCAGAGATGGTGTGCAGAAGGGAAAGCCACAATTTGGGTAATATCCAAATATATAAAATTGTATTTTCTCCACATTGTGTTTGTCTTAACACCCTACCAAGCATTTTGCAGTTTACAGCAGCGTTGTTTGGCTTTTGTAAATAAGTGTGTGCATTTCTTGTTTGTGTGAATCTTAGTTACAATGAGTGTGATTGTTTTAGGAGCATGCTTTGCTTGAGGTGAAAAACTATAAATGCATGCCAAAGTCTTTATTGCTTATGTAGATGTCATATAATTGTTAAAAGCAAAATGAAATAAAATCAAGGCTTGGACCACCTTCTGTCTCTATCTAGGTATTGCTGTCCCACACGGTTGTTCACAAGGCTCTCCTAAGATGTGATTCGCAGTCTACTTCGTGGTTTGAAAATAAATGGACACTGGTAGTATCTGTGATGGCTGCCTTCCATCCCTCCAATGACAGTTTGGCCATTTTCTCCCCGACTCACAGGAAGGAGTGTAGTCCGTTGCTGCATGACGTAGAAGCATGGCCTGCAGGCATGCAGCTCAGCAGCACTCTCACTGACTGCGACCCTGATGTTACAGTGTCGAAGATTTGCTAATGACCCTGCTGCCCATATGATCAAAACTCCCCTCCCTCAGGAGACTTTTAACAGATATGAGGTTTCTACTAAGTCTTGTTTTGTGATACCGGATTCTCCCTCCCTCTGTTCCTGTTCCTCCATGGAAAATAATGCCCACACTTGACCACCTCAGACACTTGCATCAGCCGCTCACTCTTACTATTCTCAGACTGATGGTGGGGTCTAGAACGATCTCTCCAGGTCCCGATATGCTAAATTTTATTTGGAAATGAAAGGTTGGTTATATATGAATACTTCAAGGGAGTTATAAAGAATGTTATTAGCCAGATTTGAAAATTTAGCTGTAGTGGTTTCAATGAGATTTCTTCCATTTGGTCCCCAATTAATGGTGCTGTTTGGGAGCTTTGGGGCAGTGTAGGTTTGTTGGAGGAAGTATGTCACTGGAAAAGTTGCTCCAGCCACCATGCCTGCCCTTGGTGCCTCCACTCCACCATAATGGACTCCTGCCCTCTGGCCCTATAATCCCAGATGAACCCTTTCTTATCTAAATTGCCAAGGTTGTGACGCTTACACAGCAAAGAAAAGGAATTAAGGTACTGCTTGCGGATTCATTCGTGTTTGCACTTAGCTTGGTCAAAAGGAGTTTTGTTTATGGCCTTTTCCAAAACTTTAGTAACATTGCATAAGTTTTCAGATAAAAACAGTAGGCATTATATTTCAATAGATACCTATTCAACTAGCAACAGAACACTTAGTCATACCATTAAATAATTACTACGGCTTTTGTTGCCGTTGAAGATAGATTGGACAAAAATCATGCCACTGTTGATCCTGCTTCAAGGGAGTAACTACATTTAAGTTACTATACTCTTATCATGCCATAGGCATATCTTTTACTATTTTAAGTCAAGTATATACAGTATTATAATGAGTGCTTTCAAGTTCTGACCAGCATTTAGCCATTGTGTGCTTGTGGTCCTTTGAACCAAATCTTTACTGCCTTATTTGCTTCCATTAAGAAATGTAAGGACTGAAAATTCCCTGGGAGGACTGGAAAGGTCCCCTCCTGTGCAAACCCTTCTGCTGGAAACAGTGCTGATCAGAACCCCAGGGACCCACCTCAGCAGTGCCAAAGCAGTGACAGGTGGGACTGAAGCCATCACTGGTTGGCTGAAGTCACAACATGTGGGACTTCGAAAGACTTCAAAGTGTCCCTAAGGTATCCCCACATGGTTGAGGAGAAAACAGAGAATTTGAATGGCACTGATTATAAATCTGGGTATTCAGGAAGACATGATGGTTTGTCACTTCCTTTTTTGGTACCAGTTCCAGGGACAGCCTGGCTTGAGCGAACACATTAGGGGTCTAGAAGAGACCCAGGGGCACTAACTGAAGCATTGCTTTATTCATAGAGATGTCGGCTGCAGTTTCAAGGGAGACAATTTAGGTTCCTGACAGTTTGTGATGATGATGTGGTAGAACTGGTTATACAGGGCTTTGGTGACCAGGAATTCAACCTCCAATCATAAAAAAGCTTTAAATGTGGTTTACAAATTTCAGTCGTTTACTCTTTATGAGCCTCCCTTTCCTCATCGGTGAGAACTTGGAAATTAAATCTCTCTGCCAGTCCAGGGACATTTAAAGGATAGTATGTGAGGTAGAAAAGCTTTGTTATCAAAGCCTTACTCCACCAGGAAAGGGCACATGCCTTATTCCACCAGGAAAGGACACTTCCCGGTCTTTTCACTAGACCCTTTTCCATGGAGGTCACAACCCCACCCTTCTGAGACCTGACTCCCAGACAGTCTTGAACTAGACAGTCCCTTGATACTAACCCCAAAGCTCTAGAAAACCCTAAATTCACACAAAAAGACTCTGATTACCCTAAGATGGTCTTTCATAGTGACCAGTACCCCAAAGCCTCCCAGGCGTTATTCCTCCTTACACATGTGAGTTGTCCAGAAACCTAACAACCCTCAAGACTCAGGAGCAAGGAGGGAAGAGTGGCTCAAAAGGCAGAGACAGAACCTCCGCGCATTCTGACCATTTCCATCCTTGGGTTTTTTCATTCATTGTAAAGCCTATGAAATGAAGTATTCTTTGGCAATACAGTTGGCAGCTGTGTGCTCTCCTTTTTCCGAGGCTTTATGATAGGTTTCCAAACAGCTCTGCAGGACTCCTTGCCCTCTGGTTTGCTCCCCAGCCCGGCCCGGAAGGCAAGGAGGACTCTTTGTGGCTGACTTTACTGTATTCTGCTGCCACTTAATTGCTAGGGAATCTCCACTTTGTTCACCTTTCTTTGGAAATGTCGCTGTTATTTTTTGAGACCCTGTCTTAACGCTGCCTAAGATAGTCTCCTATTATAATCTGATTCTCACACAGCAGTTTCCCGAGTGCTAGGGTTATCCAGGTGTGTGCCAACACTCCTAGTTTGTCTGTGTATTCGCTAAGAGTCTTAATATCAAAGTCAGTACAACAAATGTTGGCAGATCATATAATTAGTCAAGGCAGCACCATGCCTGTCTGTACCATGCAGTGAAGTAACTTAAGGAAATGTAGTATTCCTAGTAGGAACTGTGAGGGTTAATTTAAACTGTCATGGTAGTTTTGTTAGAAAGACTAATTCTTATATTGTGCAGGATAATCTGAATTAAAGTATAAATATAGTGACTATATTGCAACTAATTGTTAGTTATTGTAGAAATGCTATCACTGTGCCAACTGATAACACTTCTTAGGTTTATTTTACACACTAACTCCATAATACACTAAATGTGCTTTAATTAATTCTGAATAGCTTCCCTACATGCCTGTTTGATGAAATAGTAAACTAGGACATGGAGTTTGGTTGTAATTAGCCTCACCAAACAAACAAACAAAAAAGGAGTAAAACTGCATTAAGAAACCTTCGCTCCTTTTCGCTGCTGCAGTTGAAATGCCTGGGTGGGTTGGCCTAGCTCAGAGCAGTGCTGTATGTCCCTGGGATGCTGCCACGCTGGTTGTGCCCCCTGCGTGCAGGGGTGCGCCTGAAGGGAATTCTCATGCAAAGTACGTCTGCAGTGTGGCCTGCAGACCGCTCTGCTCTCTCAGCAACAGACTTTCTCAGATTTTAAGGAATGAAATGGTTTAAGGCTAATTTAGAGTTTGGGATATGAGGAGAGACGTTTGGGAGTGACTGATAGGATACCATCCAGAACAGCATCATCCAGATCTAGGCAGATGACGGAGGTGCAGGCTTCAAAGCCACTGTGTCGTCTGAAGTGTGTAACTGGTGCACGCCTCTCACGATGCCGAAAGGCTCCCTAAAAGTGAGCCAGACGCCACCTCCAGAAAGCAATAAGGATAATGGTGGCAAGCACAGGCTCTGGAAGCCTTGACAGTTCTACACCCTCTAAACAGCCAACGTTGAGCTGAGCCTCTCCTCTCCCTTCTGTAAAATGGAGCCATGCGAATTCCACACCATCACACTGCAGTTACATGGAGAATGCACACAGTTCCTGAGACACTAGTCAACTTAGCGAGGCTGTAGCCACTGATGGATCTTCATGCTGTCTCAGGACTTGCACAATGGCTGTCATTTCTACTGGCCGAGGTCACCCCCCTTGGAGATGTCTCACCAGAGTTTAGTGCTGAAATGTGAGGCCCCATTAGATCGTTTTTCCACTTTAACTCCTTTGAACCGTGTTCCCCTGCATCTCTCCCTACCCTTTATGAGCAATGTCGACACATGTACCCCCTGTGTCTCCCCATTGATGAGTAATTCGAACATACATGCAAAATTTTGAAAACAAGTTTCTGGTCTGTGCTTTTCTATTTATGAATGGCTCTTATTCTTCAGGTGAGCTACTGGAAGCTGCCCAGCATTATGAAGCATTCCATGAATTGACACAGGGCCGGATATGGAAGGATGAGACAGGCCACTATCTCAACTTGCTTGCCTGTGAAAGTCTCGTGAGGACCTACAGATTGCTCTCAGACAGAATGTTGGAAAACAAAGAATACAAACAGGCCATCAAAATTCTAATAAAAGCTTCTGAAATAGCCAAAGAAGGTGGGTAGAAGAGAGTGCTCTCACACTGTTTTCTTTAATGGACAGACACTGGTTCTCCCAAGAGAGGAGTAAAAATTGTCAAGTGTTAGGGTAATTATTTCCTATGAAATGCAAAGACAAATGCTATCAATATGCTTTCAGATTTTGCTGTAAGGCAGAAGGAGAGCCCTTAATGCTGACAATGAGATATCCATTAGTTTCTTGAAAGCTTTATTTCCAAAATTACAATTCACTGGGGGTACTGTTGTAAAACAAGGAATTCACAAAGAGGAGATAAGGTCATCTGTAAATGTGTGTGCGTGGGGGGGGGTGGGTGTTGGTGGGTGTGGGTGTGTATAGGTTGTGGGTTTTTTTTTTCAATCTGAGAAACCTTTTATTGTTTATAAATTCCCTATAGTCAGATCCTTGGGAAGCTGTGGTAAATGTTTAGTTAGCAGTAACAAGGAAATAACACTGCAATACGCTTTAGACCTTTGCCCCTTCAAAACTCGGCCTTTGGATTAGCGCTCTCAACATCACCAGGAGGCATGCTATAAAAGTCACACTCTGCCCCACCCCAGACTGGCGGCGGCAGCGTCTACAGGCTGCCAGGGTGCCCACATGATTCTCATTCACATTCTGAGCCGTAAGAATACTTTTAGGAAAATTGCTCACACCCTTAATGTTTTATAGCATCTTTATTTGTATAAGCATAATGAAAATGAAGCATTTTCTTACAAACTTTTAAAACATAACATGCAGAGAAAAATACCCCTTTCATTACTACATCACCACACAGTAATTTTCTAATAGACTAGTTTTATCATGAAGGAGAAAAAGAAGTTACAGTCTTGAACTAAAGTTTATTGATTCATGGACATATTTAATGAATTCGTTTGTTAAGTAGCTGATGGCTTATTTGGGGTAAAACAGGACTGGTCTTGTGGTATGATTTTAATTTATTTTAGAGGAAAAGTAAACATTTGAGTTCATTTGTTCTTCTGTTATTTTATTTAAATAACCTTAGTTGAAATATTTAAAGAAAATTCTTATCACTGAAAGATAAATTCCATCAAATTAACTGTTTCTGCATAAATGATGGTCTATATCTTCTCTAGAGGGAGTAAAGGGGACACAAATTTGTAAATTGTAATTTGTAAATTGATCCTGAGCGCTTGGATCAATGTCAACAGCGAATTTTAATCACACAGAAAGTTGCACAAGAATCACAAGAAAAAAACCCCACTGATTGGCCAGTAGCCAGGCAGGAAGTGTAGGCAGGGCAACCAGACAAGGAGAATTCTGGGGAGAGGAAAGGTAGAGAGTACAACACAGAGGAAGCAAGATGAGAGCACCTTCGGGAGAAAAGGCACCAAGTCACGTGGCTAAATGCAGATAAGAATTATGGGTTAATTTAAGTTGTAAGAGCTAGTTAATATTAAACCTGAGCTAATAGGCCAAGCAATTTATAATTACTCTAAGCCTCTATGTGTTTATTTGTGACTGAATGGCTGTGGGACTGGGCAGGACAGAAAAATTCGCCTACATTGTATCATAGTTTTCTATAGCCAGTGAAATATCTTGAAAACAAAAGCAGCTACTGTCCCAGGCATGTACTGTCAGTCTTCCTTGGCATCTTACATCCTCACCAGCAGTAACTCCATGGGTAGAGAGACTGAACACAGAAAGGAGGATTGCTAACTCCTGAAATCCAGAACCCAGGATTCAGATACCTCAAGATTCTGCAGAGACACGCCAGCAGGGATTTGTCAGCATCTGCGTTTCTAGGACTTGGATGACTGTGAAAGCCAGGACATCTAAAGACAGAAAAACAAAACAAACAAACAAACAAAAAAGAACAACCAAAAAACCCCAGTATTCTTATTTTAAAGAGAATTTTCAATGGTTGTTTCTAATACATAAAATTCACACACGACATTCCCACAGTCATGCCAACAAGTTGTGCATGCATCCAGAGTATTCCAGGCCTCATACTGAATGACACATTGCATCTTGGAAAGAATTGGGTCATTGTGAAATAAATATATCACAGAAATTAGGAAGGAGAAAACGTGGGTAAGGAAGGAAAGCATTTTTTCATTCCGGTGCAGGCTCTTCTGTAGGTAGCAGGGCTCTGCTGGCCATTCTCACATTAGCCTGCACCAGGAATGCTGAACGCAACATAGCCAAACTGACATCCTTAACTTGTTAATCATGTGTCCTGTTGGAAATGGAGAGGATTGGCAGGAGTGTGCAAGCTGTTACATGTTGCAGGTTGTTTCATGTAAGCTGTCATAGGCATGCTGGACAACGGTAGGTCTACACATGGTAAACTAACATCAACATTTTACGACATGTGCAAAGTATGTAGTAGGCTGTGTGTCTGTGTGGATAGAGAGAACTCCTTATTATTATATTATTAAAGTGTTTTAACCTGCTATTTGAGATCCAGATAAGTTTTACCTAAATCTCTCTCTCTCTCTCTCTCTCTCTCTCTCTCTCTCTCTCTCTCTCTCACACACACACACACACACACACACACACACACACAGAGCTTTTTTTTAATGAAAGTTAGTCTCAAAGATCATTGGTATATGTGCAAGGTTTTTTAAGATTTATTTATTTATTTTATATGAACATTCTATCTGCATTACAACTTTATGTGAGAAGATCCCACTATAAATGGTTGTGAGCCACCATGTGGTTGCTGGGAATTGAACTCAGGACCTCTGGAAGAGCAGCCAGTGCACTCAACCATGGAGTCATCTCTCCAGCCCATGTGTGTAGCCCATGTGCTTTTAAAAGAGTGACTGTCTACTGTATTGACTGACGAGGGTTTGGGTCTGTGTGGTGACTCTGTCCCCAAATACCATGGTGACTTCTCTACCTCCTCACTTCAGGAAGTGACAGGAACATGGAAGGAGAAGCTGCTCTCTACCTGGGCTCAGCCCACTTGGCTGCTGGAGAATATGAAACCGCACTCACAGTAAGTCAAAGCGAACATCATTTTATAACATGACGTTATCATAAGATCAGAAGAAATGGGTCGGGGCTGACATCAAAGCACCTATTTATGGAGAGTCAAACTGAATATCAGTCTCTTAGAAGCATGAACAAGTGGGATCCATTGGTCTTCGAAGGTGAGTTATGGTCAACTACTATGAAACACTGTAAGGTATGGGAAGTCACATGCGCTGAGCAGTATGACCCTCTACTCCGCTCCGTTCAGAGCAAGGGAAAGTGGTTTCAGATGAAAGAAGATAGAGCAGCGAAGGCGCAGTGTTTATAGGGTGAATTGGGACAATTCGTTTCGAGCATATGTGCCTGCTAAACAGGGGTGATATTTGCATTGATCTGGGCCTGGGGGTGGGTCAGCAAGAGGCTGATAGTCCCAATCTTCAACACACCTTAATCCCTGACAGAATTAGTGCTTGTATAGTTAATCCCTGGGCCTGCTCTGTTTGGATGGGACACAGACAGCAAGAGCCGTGCTTTCTTTACTATAATTAAGTTGGGTTTCTTTCCTGGTGCTATCTGCAATGCTTATCAGACATAGCTTTTTAACCATTTACATCCCATGCACTTACCTTACTTTATATGGTACAGGTTTAATGCAGAGCTTTGGAATCTCATTGACTCCTTTAGATATTCATGTTAAGCAGGATTCATAAGTGTGGGTCACATGTCATTTTCTAGCTCCGTTGAACCTGCTCATCATAGAAAGCACAGCGTTTCCTAGATGACTCTTCCGTTCAAATTTTGTGGTCAATGATAAGTGTTTGGCAAAGCTCTGTTCTGGTGCTTGGAGTGTAGACAAACCACCAAGGCGCATGCGTTCCTGCAGGAGCTAATGCAGTGTGGCAGCCGAGAAACAGGATCACAGTTCAGAGCACAAGCTTAGAGCTGCTTCATGAATTGAGAAGCGGAGGCGGTTTCCAACCCCGACAACCGGGAGGTTACCCAGAACAGTGGCACGGGGGATTCTATATGAAGAAAACACACAAAGATGATGATGGAACAGTACACATAAATACAGTCATACACACACACACACGCACACATTGGTATGCTTTGTTTGGGAAGCAATGGATTGTTTGAGGGAAGACAAAATGTATTAAGAGATGAAGCTAAAAACTTTAAAGAAAGATGGCATATGCCAGTCTCAGGAAACTGAAGTAGGAGGATTATTTGCATTGGGGAGGGGGCAGCCTGAGTTACACAGCAAGACTGTCTCAAAAAAGAAAGCAAAAGGTGGGGGACAAAAATTAAAATTAAAATAAAAATTAAATTAGGTGACAACTAGCTCATAGATTCTCATTCCCCTCCCTCTATATCCCTCCCCCACCCCACCCCTTTGCTTCTTGCCTATAGCAAGGTAACTTCAAGTAACGCAATAGCGTTTACAACAGAAAGCTCCCTTCCATCCCCACACTTAGCTCCACAATTCTTTTCCTCAAATACAGTTACAGGTTTATAACTTATCTTTCTAAAACACTCAGTGTATGACACAGATAAGGGAGTGTAGGTGTGTTTCCTTTGCTGTGTTTGGAGACTGGAATTTTCCACACAGCTCCGTGCCTTCAATGCACTCCTTTCACACTAATTCCGGCGAACTTCACTTCAGTCTTCATTTTTACAGGTTCATCACGGGATGGTTAACAGATAAATATGTGTATGTAGGAGGCAAGCATGCTACATGCCATTTTGAAATGCATGTAGGCTGGAAAGTGGTTGTCATTAGCCTATCATTTCATAACTTGCCTTATTTTCTGAGAAGACTAAAGATCTACTCTCTTAGAAATTTCATGTGTAGTTATTGATTGCTGCATTTTAAAAGGGCTGGACCATGAATGCTTTAACATCCTATAGGAGGACACAAAGGCTATTTTCAATAAATTTTTATTATAAACCATGCGTGTTATGGTTTGTATATGAAATAACCCCTTAAAAAACTCCTATGTTTTGGTCCCCAGTGCAGTGTTCCGAGATGCGGCTTTAGTATGTGAAGGGGCCATGAATAGACTTGCCTCACTGACAGACGAAATCTCGTTATGTGTTTGATGATCTGGTGGCAGACTCGGGAGGTAGCAGTGCTGTTCTGCAGTGTGGCGCGGTGGTGAGAAGGAAAGTTACACCACACAACAGGACTCACGTGGGAGGTTTGTTGGGGGAGGGGAAGGGACTGGGCGGGAAGACTGACAGAAGAGACCTCTGGCATGGAAGCGGTGGAAAGGAGAGGGAGGCACAGGAGGGGTCTGCTTTTATAAGGGGCTTTGGTGCATGCGCACAGGGCTTGATGATGTGTTCTATCAGGACCCTTAGGGACTCCAGTGCGTATGCACAAAGAGTGCTCTTAGTGACTGCAGTTGAAGACCCCAAGGGTGGGCCAGCATAAGGCCTGAATGCTAACAGGCAGAAACTTTACAGACAGGAACTTTGATGAAACAGATTGAATCAGTCACGGTGGCTCATCATGCTGGATAGTTTCTGTCAACTTGACACAAGCAAAAGTCATCTCAGAGGCGGGAACCTCAACTGAGAAAATGCCTCCATAACGTCTGGCTGTAGGCAATCCTGTAGGGCATTTTTGTAATTAGTGATTGATGGGGAAGGGCCCAGGCCATTGTGAGTGGGGCCACCCTTGGACTGGTCGTCCTGGGTTCTATAAAGAAAGCAGGCTGAGCAAGTCATGTGAAGCAAGCCAGTAAGTAGCACCTTCCATGGCTTCTGCATCAGCTTCTGCTTCCTGGTTCCTATCCTGCTTAAGTTCCTCTCCTGACTTCCTTCAGTGATGAACAGTAATAACAGAAGTGTAAGACAAATAAATCCTTTCCTCCCAAAGTTGCTTTTAGTCATGGTGTTTCATCATAGCAACAGCAACCCTAACTAAGATACTAACCCTTGTAATGCTAATACTTGAAATTCTTACCCTTTTAATGCCTATACTTGAAATTCTAAGGCGGGGGGAGTGCCATGAGTTCCAGGCCAGCCTGGATTACAAAGTAAGGCCTTGTTTCAAAACAGCATCAAAGGAAAAAAAGAAAATCTTAACAACAACAACAACTAGGGACCAACAAGATGGCTTGATTGGCAAAGGCACTTGCTGCTGCCAAACCCGAAGACTCTAAAATCCACAGGGTAGGGAAAAACTGACTTCTACAAGTTGTCCTTTGAGTTTCACATGTGTGCTCTGACACATGTACCCACACATATGGACACTATATATATATATATGTGTGTGTGTGTAATGTATATGTATATATACATATATATAATGTATATGTATATATGACACAGAAGTAGGTGTCTACTTATCTTTTATGCCCTTTGATACCAGATAATCTAAAGATTTGGTTTTGGAAAGGGCAACTCTATCATTCTTTAGTATTTCCTTTGTGAATAGGTAAGGAGATCAACTTTAAGTTTTAATCTCAATGATTTCTTGTAATATTAAAATAATGTGAGAATTTAAAAAAAAGAAGTAGGTGTCTTAAGATGTGGAAGCGCGTTCTTCAGGCCCATTTCCTGCTTTGTGGTGTCCTGGACTCCATCTCAGTCTCTGCCTACCATCTCCCATGAGATGAGGTGAGTCACTTTGCCACAGTCCTTCTGCTGTAGTGCTCTGCCTCTGTGTGCACAGTCCCAGAAACAATGGCGCCAAGTGACATAGACTGACATCTCTGCCTCTGTGTGCACAACCCCAGCAACAATGGCGCCTATGCCATAGACTGACATCTCTGCCTCTGTGTGCACAGTCCCAGAAACAATGGCGCCAAGTGACATAGACTGACATCTCTGCCTCTGTGTGCACAACCCCAGCAACAATGGCGCCAATGCCATAGACTGACATCTCTGCCTCTGTGTGCACAACCCCAGCAACAATGGCGCCAATGCCATAGACTGGGATCTCTGAACCCATGATCCAAAGACACCCTTCTTCCCTGGTTTGTTTACCTTAGGCATTTTGTCACAGTCATGAAATAAAGCTAACTTACACCATGGGCAACAAACGGGTTGAATGACTGCGTGAAGCAGGAGATTCTGGTGTACGCTATGATGTCAGTGGTATAAGACAGTCCAATAAAAATGGATCTCAGAAATTATCTTTGACATCCAAATGGAAAATCCTGGAAACTTCTACTCTTTTAAGACAATGTTATCTTCTGGAAGTAAATATGAATCTCACGTTCACCACTTGTCAGCTGGAAAACCTCAGGCCAGCTCCTAGAGCTCATCATCTCATTGCTCCCCATTCCTTGCAGGAGTATACGTAGGCTTGCTCCGCTGAGTGCAATAGGTTACATGGCCTGAGCCACTTCTTAATCCCTGGAACTGGTGGATACTGGTATGATCAGCTTAAAGACCTGGAGATGAGATGATTGTCCTCGATTGGGTGAGGTGGACTCCAATTCCAAAGTCAAACATCGTTCTAAGGAAAGGGCAGAAGAGGCTGTGAAACAGACAGAAGAACAAAAGACAGCACAGAGAGAGAAGGAACATGTGAGGGTGAAGGAGGAGAAGGTGGAAATGTAGACCCAAGTCCAAAAGCACCTGGAACCATCAGAGGGGTAAGAGGCAGGCAAGCAACCCTCTCAGAGTCGTCAGAGGGTCAGGATGCTGCTCAACACCAGATTTCAAGCTTCTTCCCTTCTAAGCTTTGAAAGGACGGACTTCATCGTGTCAGCTCTATGGGACTACTCCTAATAAAGAAGAGTTTCTTTATATAAAGTTCTGAAAGAGTATCTGCCTGGTCTGCTAGAAAGTCTGTAGCAGGACAGTATCTTCTAGATTTACTGGGTACACTAGAGACACAATGACTGGATAAAACTAAATATGCAAGGTGATTCCCTAATTGATTGGAGATATAACTAGTCATCTAATCACAAGGCAAATGCAAAGAATATTTTTTAAATGTTTTTTGATTCTTGTTTTAAATTCTTAGACTCCTAGTTTCATTGCTGATACTGTCATAAAATATCCTGCGGA